ATATCCCACGCATAAGTGGTATCATGTGGTTTTAAACTTTTTCTGTCTGGCTTATTTCGCTTAGCATGATTATCTCAAAGTCTATCCATTTTGTCTCAAACAGTAGTATTTCATCTCTTCTTATGGCTGAGTAATAAAATATTCCATTGTATATATGTATCACAGCTTCTTTATCTAATTATCTATTTTAGGACACTTCGGTTGCTTCCCTAGATTTTTTCTTTAGATTTGCCAAATTTTCGTATTTAGCAGACTATAAACTCTAAACTGTAGCCTGTGGACCAGATCCAGACTGCTGCCTGTTTTTGTACAGATGTGATCTAAGAATGGTTCTTACATTTTCAAGTGGCTGGAAAAAATGAAAATAATTCTTATGACGTGATAAATTATAAGAAATTCAAATTTCAATGTCCATAATAAAGTTCTATTGGAACCCCGCCATCCTCATTTGTTTGTGTATTATCTATGGTTGCTTTCACACTACAGTAGCAATTGAGTAGTTGCAAAAGAGATTATATGGCCTGCAAAGCCCAACATATTTACTATCTGGCCCTTTACAGAAAAAATTTGCCATTCCTGGTCTATAGGACACAAGTTTTGATAGTTATATCTACAGAATTGCCTCGTTTATTATGTTATCTTTGTTTCTAGATTCTTATTTTTAATAGAGTTTGATCAGAGTGGTATATCAAAGTTTTCCACAACTATGGAGTTTTTGCCAGTTTTTTCTTGTATACTAAATCATTTTTGTTTTGTAGACACAATCTCTATGTTTCTGAGAGCTAAGTTTGATATATTTCAGTGCAGAGAATTTCTTTTACAAAAATAAAAAGCCTTCTTTATTTTATTAGATATCTTACCTTGGGTTCTACTGTTTCATATTCAAGGGGGGCACCCTTCAGAGTTTGCCACTCCAAAATGTGATTTTGGGATACTGACGATTTTAAGCTGCTTTTTTATTTTATTTCATTTTATTTCTTTTAGGTGAGGCAACCTTTGGTTGACCTCACAGATTGCAAGGACCTTGTCAGCTTACAATCCCTTATTTTTTTTTATTTTTTATTTTGTATACCTATAGCACCTGGTCTTCCTAGGTGGTCTCCCATCTAAGTACTAACCAGGTCCGACCTTGCTTAGCTTCCGAGATCAGACAGGATCGGGCTTGTTCAGGGTGGCATGGCCGTAGACAAGCTGCTTATTTTTAAGAAACAAACTCAGGGAAAACCTTTAACCTTCCCCCTAACTGCCTAAAGGGAATTCAGAGAGCAGATCTGCTCCAGGAGAGAAGATATCATCACAAAAAACTATAATTTAATATGAACTAGTGTGTGATAGACAGAGAGGAACCTAGCAAGGTCCATTTGTTCAAAGTCCTCTCTGGGTCCCCTTGTTAAAGATGATCCAGCAAACATTTATTTACCAAACATTTGCTTTTCCATCTCCACATGAATTGCCTTCCTGCCCTCAAAGTTCCAAACCATAAACCCCTCCTCTCCTTAGCTCCAGAATGGCAAACAAGCTTCAATTGCCCAATGGGTCACATTGGGGGCTATATTCTTATGGCAGCCCCACATGTACATCCACAATAAATTTTAGACATTTTCTCTTATGTGAATTTGTCTTATGTGAATTTGATTATTAGCCCAGCCAGAAGAACTTAGAAAAGTGGGAGGAAAGTTATATTAATGACCTCGACAATATTAATACTAATACTCTGATTAGCTTGTAATTCCTGACATGTCTTGCCCAAACACTTTGTTATAGGTGTCAATTTGGTAAACAGAATATAGTTGGATTTCAAATTTTTTGGCCCAATCTGAAAGATTTGCTTAATAGAGTCTAGCCAATTTATATTTACTAGTATAGACTCATTTTTATCATCTTCCTATCTTTTGCTCTGTGAACTGTTTTTTTTTTTTTTAATGTTTTTACCCCTCTAGAACAGGGAAGGGTATATAATCCATTTTAAATTTACTAGAATAATGTTACCACAGTGTGTTTTCAATTTTAAAAGTTCTAAGAAGAAGGTAGTAATCACCCATATTTCCATTTTCAGAATTAGTCACTGTTAATTAAGATTTTGGTACTTTGCTTCTAGTGTGTGTGTGTCTATTTAAAACACCATATAAATAAGAATAAATTATGCATTAGATGCATAATTCACCTTATAGATGAAGCCAGTGCCTCCAATTCTCTTTCCATCATGTATCTATTTCTCTAGTCCACAAAAAATACAGGTATCCCTGGTTATGTATACTGTTACAATCCAAAAATTCACTCTTAACAACTTATGAAAAATTTTACCCAAAATTTGCTATGGAGATAAAAAAATTGAGTGTAAAGAAATGTCAGGCACATGGAGCAAAAACATTCTTTGACTGTAAAGGGTAGGCCAATGAAGGAAGGTGGATAGAAAATATCTTCTTTTGTCCATATGGTTCTGCCATTCTGCACCAGGGATTCAGTCTGAGTTAGTGGTCATACTATTGTTTACCTGGACAATAGTTTACATAGTTTTCAGACCTTGTGACATTTGTATCTTTTTTTATGTTCTAATAAATACCTTCCAAGCAAGACACAATAGAATCAAGAGTTAGTAATTTTCTGCCATTATAATCTGGAAGCTCATATACTATTTTTTACATTCAGAAAAACAAAACAAAATGAAAAAGATATTTTTAAAAATGCCAGTGAATGTACCCAAGGGAAAACATAATTCTGGAAAAACACTCAACAGATTTATTTCAGAAGATAGCAATGGCTCAAAGAAGCAAAAGAAGGCAGAGAAGAAAGTGGAGACTAGTTTGCAATGTGCTTTTGTAGCAGAATGGGATAAAGCCAGTGCTATTACTGGATGTTCCATGTGCTTCAAGATGGGGAGGAGAATCTTGCCTAAAAACACCTCTAGTGAAATACCTATATACTGCATAATTTGGCAGCTGAATTAAAATTAAAGATCAAAATCAATCTATCTATCTATCTATCTATCTATCTATCTATCTATCTATCTATCTATCTATAAAAAGGTTGATAGGAAGACCAGGTGCTGCAGATGTAAAATATTAAAAAAAAAAAAAGGGAGGGATTGTAAACTGACAAGGTCCTTGCAATCTGTGAGGTTAACCAAGGGTTGCCTCGCCTAAAAAAAAAGAAAACTAAAAAAAAAGGTTGACAAAATTCTACATTACCTAATATGAGAAGATCAAGAGCTAAGCATGTATAGTTTAGTTAAGCCATATTTACTATTAATCTGTCTAGAAACCCTAGGTTTGGTTAACACCTAATTGCTCCCCTCAATAGTTAATCAGACAATTGAGAAAAATACAATGAACTGATTAAATCAAAAGATATTATCTGCTAAAATGGAGATCATATGATAGAAATACTAGAAACACTATTTCTTTTCTAATAATAGATCTGTTGTTACTACATTCATATTAGAGATGTCACTCGTGATGCTGGGCACTTCCAATCTCCCCATCTACCTGAACAGCCTTATCTATAGGATCTGGTTCAGGAAAGTAGGGCTAGGCTACTTTGTGTCTAGAGGTGGCCCCTAGATTGCTGGCCACCTGGCCAGTGGACAGCCCAAACATAGGCTGGTAAACAGCTTATGGTGGTACTGTGTGCAAAGCTGTGCTCGGCCAGATTTAAAACAGAATGAGAAAAAATTCGTCAATTGGAAAAAGAAGAGACAGAGTACCTGAGTCACATGAGTGAGCTAAGATTCGGATTCCTTAACTACAGACCTTGTTCTTTCTGCAGTCTTTAACTATTTTTCAGTTTTCCTTCACAATACAAAATTAAGAGACTAAGAGGTTTTCTAACTTGTATTTTTAGAAACAAATACACCATCTTTGCAACTCCATAAAGTATTTTTAGAAACAAACACATCATCTTCACAACTACTCACTTTACAGATGAGAAAACTGAGGCAGAATGAGATCAAATAATTTGTTAAGGTCACATAGCTTCTCAGTGGCACAATCGTGATAAGACAGCTGTGTTTTCCCATGAGACCATCCAATCTGTGTCCCTTACAGTTCTTTGTCTCCAAACATTAGCTACATCAAGAACAATATTATAAAGCAGAAAAAGTTTTCTTCTTACCTGTTTGCTGTATGGTAGTTATTGCCTGAGCATTACACTGTAGCTGTAACATGTGTCTCAGCATGGCCACGCCCCAAATATGCAACTCTTGACACAATGCAGGAGCCACTGCTGTTTTTGGCTGAGAGGATTTCGAACCTGTTGTGAGGATCTGTAAACTGGCTGCTTCCAGCTGCCTGCACAGTGCAGAAACACTTAGAGCACAGAGGAATTTGTGCTCTGGGCTATGGTTTTCAGTATGGGGCAAAAGGTTGAAGACAGCATTATAATTATTTTCATACTTCCCATTAATATCACATCCAGGAATTGGGGTTTCAACTGTTTTGTCATTTTTCTCACTCTCCCCTTCCAGGTCATAACTGAATGTTTGCACCAGATTCTTGCTTTCAGGTAAACAGATGTCCTTGTTACTAATATCACCACAAAGCCTCCTTATGACTTTGCCAACATCCTCAAATCTAGCTAAAAGAGTCGACCTCAGGGCAATGTGGCAAAAGATCCCCAGTGTGAGAAGCAGCCCACCTAGAGAGCACTCTATGCTATGGTAGAGGTCCCAGGCCTGCTGCATACACTCTTGGCTACAATATTTGGCATAGCTGCATCCATCACAGGGAACTGTGGCCAAAGTGTGCTTCAAACATCGGTGACAATAGAGGTCCCCATTGGTAACTCTGGTATTCCACTTGCCATCCAGGCCGTAACACAGTGGTGACATTTCTCCAGGGTTAAGGACACTCACAAAAGCATCTTCCCTCACAAGGAGCTCTCCTGGGAGAATATCTTTTGTGGCAATCAGATAGCGGCCTTTTAACGGGTCTATGCATAAGCTGACAGAAGATGTTGCACTGGAAATTTGTTCATTCTTTTCCCTTAGGTCCATATTCTCAAAGGCTTTGGTTGGAGCTGCTGGGGAGGTTTCTGTGAGAGTCTCCTTTTCTCGTACCTTCATTTTTAGGTGACAGAGGGTTCTCTGTATAATTTTAAACTGGGAAGCTGCTAGGTTACTTTCAAGATCACTGATGGTCTGACCTGCTTCCTGCAGTCTCCCCAGAGTCACCAGACACTCTGCCTTACGTAACATCATCTTGGGTTGCAGTCTTTCTGGATATCCATGCATCTGTGCTCTGATGATGTCTTGAAGACATGTCTGAAAACAGAAAGGAAATCCCAAAATGATCCTTGGTCCCTACTCTTCAGTCTCTACTAAGGTCTTAAAAAAAATCTACAGGAAAGTTAAGGATTATTAAAAATGGAGCAACTACAATCATGTGCTTATTTTTTTAAATCTTATTCTACCATGTGCTCTTTTGAGTGATTAGAAATCCATGCTAAAGAGATTATGTTTAACTAGCTTATCAAATATGTTTTTAAGGAGAAAAGTCTTATAGAGAGAAGAACTGTAATATGGTGAATAAGAGGGCAGTCTTTGAAGCCAAATAGACTTGCATTCCAATACTGACTTTGCCTCTTACTAGCTATATGACCTTGTGCGAGTAACTTAATTTCTCGGTGTCTTAGTTTTCTCACCAGAAAGCAGAGATAATAATACTTCACAGCATTGAAATAAGGATGAAAATAAGGTAATATATCTAAATAGATGTAAATGTTCCTGGAACATTATATGTGCTCAATATATAGCAACATTATTATAAGAAGGGAAACAGAAATAACCAACGCAGGGAAGTTATAAAGGGTTAAATGTTTACAAGTTCTTCTAATCACCATCTTCAGTAGTCCAGGACTTTCTTGCTTAGAGTTAGATTCTTGCTCTTCTTTTTTAGTCCAAGGGGCAATTTAAGTGTGAACTTGTGACTATTCAAATAGTTCTTAATTCTAGGGCATAATTTAAATTTCTGTGGAATTCTGAAATAGATGTATCAAAATGGCATTTTAGAGCTTGTTCTTAGACCTCAATTAGGGAATAAGAAGAAAGCCACTCATCCAAAGCCTACTTCCTTGTAGGCACACACAGACATTTCAGAGCAGCTTTCACTTATCCACTCAAAATGCATATTGAGGGTGATCTATATTATTGCAGGGATAATCTTGAACATGCTCTACTTATTAAAACAGTAAATAGTTTGCAAACACTATTATCAAACCAGTAAATAGTTTGCAAACACTTCGAACCTGAAGTATTATTAGCAACTTATCTCACTCACAACTTATCTCACTCAACACTGAGAACTACTAACCTATTAGATATAATCCATTGCCCTGTGGAATGTGCCATGACTCTCTTGTCAACCAACACTACCCCACATAATCACCTCTGACAGGTAACATGAATCAGGAGAAAGGACAAGTTTGAGAGGACGCAATCTATTTCCAATTCAACCAACTGCAGCATGGCCCAATTTTACTGTTCTAAGGTAGAAGCAGAGATGAAGGCCTAGGCCTCCAGTGAACGCCCTACAGATCCTCTTCGATCACATCAGGCATCCTGATACTCACTTCATACTGACCCAAGTGGAAGAGGGCTGCAGAGCGATTGGCGTAACACAATGAAATGTCCTCAGTGTTAGGCCTTGAATGTGATACTCCCTGCAAAACAACAAACCAGTTAAAGGTATAAATGGAAATTAGCATCTTTAAAGTATTTTTTCAGATAATAGGAGCCCTACTACTAAAGACTGTATAAAATTGGTAATGTTACTGGATCTCTTTCTGCTTCATCTCTTTCAGCTTCATTTTTAACTACCATAAAGCAAAGCTGCAAAGATCAAGTGAGGAAATAAATATTCGAAGCACTTTGAAGATAGCATCAGACATAGCTTCAGCCACAACAATACTAAAGGCAAATGAAAACTGAGGAACACAATTCTGCACATAACAAAGAGTGAGTGGCACAAAGAGAAATTCACAAAAGAAAAAACACTAATGATACATGGGAAACAAATGGTTAATTCATATACAGATAGCCAGATATATGAAAATGAAAGCAGAAAAGACCGACTCTTTTTCTACCACCAAACTGGCAAAACTTAATAATCATAAAGGTGGTATCTCACATCACTGGAGAAACGAAGAAGATTATTTAATAAAAATATTAGGACAAGTAGGCAGCTACTGAGGAAAAAAATATATATGATAAAACTTTAATTAGGATGAATTCTAAATGGATCAGAATCTTAATGTAAAATAAACTATAAGAGCCCTAGAAGAAACTATAGGAATAGTCTAAAGTGATGTTGGAGTGAGGAATAACTTCCTAGTTATGATACAAAACCCAGAAGTCATAAAAGGCTAATAAATTTGAGCACATAAAAATAAAAAATTTCTTTACAGCAAAAACTAATAAAAGCAGTATCAAAAGACAAACATTGTATTGGAAAAAATATTTGTAACTCATATTACAGGCGAAGGGCTCATTTCTTTACTTTATGAATAGTTCCTACAGATCAATGACAACAAATAATTCAATAGGAAAATAAGCAAATAATATAAACCGTTCTAATGGGAAATAGAGATGGCTCTTAAACATATGAAAAAATAGTCAACCTTATTCATAATCAGCAAAATGCAAATTAAAACTCTACTGCCATTTTTTACCTGTCAGTTTGGCAAAGAAAAATAAAATTGATACCACACTGAGGTGGCAAAGGAGAAGAATAGTGGGTATTCTCATATGTTGCTGGTAGGAGTGTAAATCGGTCTCCTAATTATGGAGAGCAATTTAGCAATATACATATTTCTTTTAACATATTTGTATATATCTATATCTCCATTGACCCAGCAATACCTCTTCTAGGAATTTATCCTACAGATATAATCATTTATCCTATAGATATGTACAAAATAACATACGTGCAGTTTCTCATCACAGAATTGTTTGAAATAACAAAAGATAGGAAACAACTTAAATACTGGTCTATAGGACACTAATTAAATAAATTACTATTATATCCATATAACAGAAAACCATGTAGTCATAAAAAAAGAATGAGGAAACACTTTATGTACTCATATAAGAATAATTTAAAGATATTAAGGGAAAAAAGTGCAGTGCTAGAATGTGCATACATTGTTATTTATATAAAAAAAGTATGTGTGTACAGGAGTGGGAGATTATTTGTATTTATTTATAAATGGCAAAGTACCTCTGGAAAGATACATTTAATAGTGATAGCTTCTGGGTACGGGAAACTAGGTGGCTTGGGGACAGAGGAAGTAGAATACACTGTATACTCTTGCACCTTTTGAATTCTAACTATATAAACACATTTCTTATTCAAAAATAAATAGGTAAAGTAATAATAATAGAACTATAATAACCAGTATTGCTTAGGATATAGAGGAATGAACATGCCTATATTTTGCTAGAAGAGATGTTAACTAGTTCTTTCCTGGAGTACCGAAGGCTTTAAAAAAGTACATTCAATTGATCCAGCAATTGCTCTTCTAGGAATTTAATCCTAAAGAAATAACAGATGTGTACAAATATTTACATAGAAAAATGCTCCTTGCAGCTTTATGATACAAAATAATCTGCCAACATTACATGTTAAATCAAGTATAGGTTTCTGTTATGGAACACTAAGCCAGCCGTAAAAAATCATGTTCTAGTGGAAAATTTAATAACATGAGAAAATGGTCACAATAAATTGTTGAGGGAAAAAAGCAGGTTACAAAACAGTAAGTACACCGTTATCCCAATTTTGTAAAAGAAAAACATATTTTCAGAGGAAAAAGTGGCTGGATGGATATAAGCAAAAATGTTAACAGTACCTATCATTGGTTGAGATTTTTTTTTTAACTCTATGCTTCTCTATATTTTCCAAGTAAACATATATTACATTTGCAATCAGACAAAACCAACAAATATTATTTTAAAAAAGAAACAGTAGATTTATAGAAAATTGCAAAGTACCATAATCACCAAAATAGTAGCTTCATGAAATAGGCTCATCTCTCTTTACATCTAGAGCAAACCTTAATTTTTTTTGTCTGATTTCACTTTTTATTTTACATGTTTTCCTTGAGCAACTCCTCATGTGATTACACTTGTGATGCACAGGCATAGAGTGGAAGAAATTAGCTCTGAAAAAGAACTATTAAGCCATTTATCAGTGGATCATTACATCTAATGGATTTTAATTCTTCAGTACTCCCTAATGCTTACATTATTCAACTAAATACTTTGTTATAACATTACAAAGCAGGGCTTTTATCAATTACAGAAGCTGCTGTTGTAGGTCTCATAGTTTTTGGAAAACTAATTCCAAACTTTCAGCATAGGCCTGTTAAAGATTCAGAGTAGGGGTCCACTTTCAAATTTACACTTATTCTTTCAGTATACAAGATCATAGACTCAGTGCAGGGGAGCAGTAAGCCCATATTTATCTTGCTTTAAGCCCATATTTATCTATAAAAAGTTAAAGAAAAAAGGCTCTCAGGGATCTTGTTCCAGTTCCTACTATGGAAGCAAGACAACAGGAGCAATAGCCACTATTCCTCAAAATCTAGCTCATTGATGGTTAGCATAGTTTTAAATATTCGTTGATAACCTTCAAAATGGAGTTCAACTGGGCTGTGGCAACTGATCTAACTTTCCTTTCTAACTTAATCTAAATCATACTGGTTGTAGCTATCATCGTGGCTAACCCAAAACCTAGCTGCTCTCTAAATTGGAACTATCAAACTAATAGCTTCATCAGTCATTCAGACAAAAATGGCACACAATTCAACGAGGGCTGACAGACATGAGCAAGGCAGGGCAAGGGGCCCAATAAGTCTATTGCTACAAGATGGCTGAAAGAATACTGGAATAGAAGTTTCTTGATGCAATTCAGGACACATAATACAAACTACCCTTGGTTTCAAAATATAACAGAAGAATTCTGCCAAGTTTTCTTTTTCAAATTCAACCCATAAATTATAGACATAGCTATCACTGGCTACACAATTCAGCAATAAGGCTCTATCTTTTAAAGAAATACGCATTGTTAAATTGTTGAAATAGCCCCTCCTGCTGAGCTGGGGGTGACTTACCTTAGAATACAGCACTGTGGCTCCCATATAATCCTTCTCCTGAAATTTTTTGTTTCCTTCTTCTCTGTAGAAAAGGGGAGCGTTGGGGTCCTTTTCCACAAGGTAACCCCTAGAGAGCCTTTTTAAAAACATCTCATCCTCAGATCTTCATGAAGAAACAAAAAAAGCACAAATTTGTTATTTCAAGGAAAGCTCCTAACCATTGCACTTGCAACAGGAGTGACTGCCCGCAAAACACTGGGACACATGAGGTTCTATGTATTATGTAATATGATTGGTGGCGGACGGGGGGTGGGGAATCTTGTGGTCTCAGAGACATAGGGACTGGAATTTCTATTTAGAGAACAGAGTGTTAATTTTTTATTCTTTACCTCATAATTACTGGCTAATGACCCATTTCTCATCATATATGGAAGCTTGTGAAGAATGACATGGAGTCTTTGCACCAGGGCATCTTCTCCACTTAAACTGTGTTGAAAATACCTGAGCTGAATGTCTGCCAGAGGAGAGGGAGATGGGGGATGAATCATAAAGTAAATGTAGTGAAATGTTAACATTTAGGGAATCTGAAAGGATATTACACAGCTATTCTTTGTGCTGTTTTTGCAAGTAAATCTGAAATTATTTCAGCCTGAAAATTTTAAAAAAGTACTGTATGCAAATGCTCTATATAATTAATAAGGTTGATCTAATATATAAATACACAAACATACACAAACTGGCAATAGAGAATACATCTTTTTTCCAGTAAGGAGAAATAGTATAGAATAACCTAGACTATACTCTCTGACTACAATACAATGAAGCAAAATATGAATAGCATGGAAACTAAAAATTCTCTTAAGCAATTCTTGAGTCAAAGAGGAATGAAAATCAAAACTGCAGAATGTTTAGAAAGCATTTTTAAAATTGTTGTTTACAAAGACCCACAATAAGAAGTATCTTTTACATTGTGATTCAGTATGATGTACCTGTGTATGTATATATTGGAATTTCATAAAACATTATATTTGTTATGTATAATAAGTTAATATCAAATGATTTTATTGATATTTAAATAAAATATAGAAAAATATCAAAATAATAAAAAAAATTAGGAAAGTTTTTATCCAATTCAAAGGGTGTGAATGCCTGTCTTAAATTTGTCCCAGTCCAGAAAATATTATATGCATATATTCTCATGTATATATGGTTTACCACAGAATCTGTTTGTTGTTGCTTGTTTTTGTGTTGTTTTAAATTAAATGAAACCTGAAAATCCCATTCAAACAAAAAGGTTAGGGTGAATAGTAATAACAGCCTAAAGAATACCCATTGCCTGACAATGGGTATTCTTTAATCTTAATCCAAAATGATGATAAACTCAATGTTTTTTAATTGTTATAATTAGTATGTAATTAAGACCCAAGCTGCAATAATTCATTCTTTTCTTTGAGTACCAAATTTAACTCAGTAATTAATTTTAAGTTTTGAAAAGCAAAGAGACGTTCTTTTTAATATTTCAAATTTTCTTGAATGTTATGATAAAAAATTTGAGGAAGTGAGATGAAACAATTTTTCTAATTAATTTTATTGTGGTAAAATATACAAAATTTATCATTTTAACCATTTTTAAGCATACAGTTCATTGGCATTAAGTACATACACAATATTGTGCAATCATTACCACATCTATTTCTGGAACTTTTTCACCATCCCAAACTAGTATAAGCTCATTAAATGATAACTCTCCAGTCTTTACTCTCTGCAGCCCCTGTAATCTCTATTCTACTTTCCGTGTCCATGAATTTATTTATTCTAGGTACTTCAAATAAATGAAATCATACAATGTATGTCCTTTTATGTCTGGCTTATATCACTTAGCATAATGTCCTTAAGGTTCATCCATATTGTAGCATGTACCAGAATTTCATTCTTTTTTATAGCTGAAATATAATCTATTCTATGTATATGCCACATTTTGTTTACCCATTCATCTGTCAATGCACATTTAGGTTGTTTTCATTTTGGCTATTGTGAATAATATTGCCATGAACATTGGTGTGCAAATATCTGTTCAAGTCTCATTTTCAATTCTTTTGGGTATAAACCTAGAAGTGGGATTGCTGGATCACATACTAATTCTATTTTTAATTTTTTGAGTAACCGCCACATTGTTTTCAATAATGGCTGTATCATTTTACATCCCAAACAACAGTGTACAAGGGCTCCAATTTCCCCATACTCATCAACACTTGTTAAAGTGTTGGGGGTTTGTTTTGATAGTAGCCACCCTAATGAATGTGAGGTGGTATCTTACTATCATTTTGATTTGTATTTCCCTAATGATTAGTGATGTTAAGGACATCTTTTCATGTATTGGCCATTTATATCTCTTCTTTGGAAAAAATGTCTACTTAAGTCCTTTGCTCATTTTTTAATTGAGTTTTTGTTGTTGTTGACTTTTAGGTGTTCTCTGTATAGTCTGGCTATTAATCCCTTATCAGATATGATTTGCTAATATTTTTCCCATTCTATGGATTGCTTTTCACTCTGTTAATATTGTCATTTGATGCTTAAAATGTTTTAATTTTCATGAAGTCCAATTTGTCTATTTTATCTTTTGTTGCCTGTGCCCTTGGTATCATATCCAAGAAATTGTTGCCAAAGCCAATATCAAAAGCTTTTGCCTTATGTTTTCTTCTAAGAGTTTTATAGTTTTAACTCTTAAGTCTTTGAGCCATTTTGAGTTAATTTTTGTATATGGTATAAGATAAAGGTCCAAATTTGTTCTTTAGCACGTAGATTCTAATTAGGAAGCAGACAGAAAGGAGCAAGTTCCTTCTTCTTCAGGCTTGCCTTCTCTCTTTAGAATTGTAGAGAGGCAAAAGCCTCTCATGTAGTCAACTGGCAAAGCAGAAAGTCCCAGCCCAGCAAAGAGTACAGAAGATTGGAGCTGAGAAACAACAGCTTAATAACTCACACACATTCATATATACACATTTTTCCCCTAAAGCATTTGAAAGTAAGTGCAGACATCATGGAAGTTCACCTGCTAAGAATAAGAACATTCCCCTATATCCTGATATCATAATATCATTATGACACTTAAAAAATTGATGCTAAATCAAATACCATTTAAATTTTTCCATTATTCCTAAAATGTCTTTTACATCTTTTTTTCTTTTTAACTGAATTTGTTATTTCTCTTCAGTCTCTTTTGAGATAGTCCCATACCTTTTTTGTTTTTCATGAATAATTTTTTGAAGACTCAAGGCCAGGAAAATGTTCCACATTCTGGTTTTATTTCATTGCTTCCTCATAATTAGATTCACATTAAATAATTTTTGTCAAGACTATAAGTACATAGTTAAATCTGTATACATCTTGTTTCAAATCAGGAGACACGTATGTTAAGTAGTTTTCACTATATGTGATGCTAAGTCTGATCACTTGGTTAAAGTAGTGACTATTGGATCTCTGCAATATAAAGATACCTTTCCCATTATACTTAATAAGTAATCTATGGGGCCATACTTTGAGACCACGTGAATAACCTGATTCTCAATGATCTTTCTTCTAATGGTTTTAGCATTCATTGACAATCATTGCCAGAGTCAGTTATTACACTGAGGGTTATAACATAGTGGTTTTCTAATTCTATCATTACAAATTTATTAATTGACATTTCTTCTGTAAAGATAAGTGTTTCCTCCTTTCCTTCTTTTACTTATTTATGTATTTATTTGAGTATCACCATGGACTTTTAAAAAATTCATTGTTATAAACCATTACATCATTACATTTTTTGATGCTCAAATTGTCCAGTAGGAACCTCTGCAGACTGGTTCCTATGTTCTTTTTCACATCAATCTATTAGTCTTTGAGCACTTCCTTTCTTTCTGGCACCATAAGATATTCCAGCTGAATCAGTACAAAATCAAAACAAACTATAAGGCAATGAGTGTGGATAATGAGTCTGTTAAGGATTCCCTACCACACTGCAGATTATCAATTAGAGTGAAGTCATTTGTCTCAAAAGGTCTTTAATATTGATGAAAGGCATCAAATTTGGTAAAACATTCCTCAAAGACTATAAATGGTAAGAAAGAAAAGTATATGCCTGGCTTTAAGTTTTAAAGGCTCAATTCATATTTTTATTTAATGGGCATGCACATGGAGATTAGAAGTTTGAATCTTTTTTGGTCACTTTAGATTATGATTGAATAGCCTTAAAAACAGCTCTTCAGAGCTAAATTTTTTTTGCCATCCCTCTAACTTGTTCTTAAGTAGTCTAAAGATACACAGAATAAAATGAAGGCAGTTATTAACTCCAGAGGAAATAAGATTTGTACAAGAAAGGAAATGTAATTCGAAGTATACTTCATGGTTCATGTAATATTTACATACACATATGATGTATGTATTGAATATTGGTTTAACCAATATCATGTTCTATTGGTTATGTTATATTATAAATTATAATCAGTTATAATGGGAGAATGAGAGGAAAATCAAGTATATACATACATGTGAGTTCAGGGTAAGAGAGCTAAATTTGACATCTAAAACTAAAAATTCAAGAAACAACAGTATTAGCATACTATTTAGTACTATGAAACTAAATGCCTGAAGAAACAGTTAAAATAATTTAAAATAGCCTCTGGAGAATAGAAATGAAGAAGAGTGAGACAGAGGGTTGTTGTTTTTCTTTATAGGCTTTGAAGTACTATTTGACTTCTTACATTATATGCATATTATTCTGATAGAAATGGAAAATCTTTCTACTTAATAAGGCACCAGGTCTACACAGGTTTACAGGATTTTTCTACCAGCTTTTAGGAACTAAATAATCCCTACATTATATAAACTATTTCAGAGCAGAGAGAAAGATGGGATGCTCTCAAATTTATGCTATGAGGCTACCATAACTGTGATACCAAGAGTTGACAAATAGAGCACAAAAAAGAACATGTAGGCTAATATGATTTATGAACATAGATGTAAAAATTCTAAAAATAACATTAGCAAATTGAATCTGGCTATGTGTTAAAAGAATGATAGATGATAACCAAATAGTTTATCTCTAAAACAGTTCAACTTCAGTAAATCTACTGATGTAAACCCTACATTAACAGATTAAAGGAGAAAAAGAAAATGATCGTTCCTCCCAAAATATCTCAAAAGAGTGTTGATAAAATTGAACATCTATTTATGATAGGATATAGGACAATTTCCTTAAACTGAAAAAGGTATGTACTATTAAACCCATGGCAAATGTTCTAAATGGCTTTTACTAGTCAACATTGCACTGCAGGTCTAACTAATGCTATGATAATTAAAAAGTAAAATAAGAAATACAAATATTGGAAAGGAGGATTACTATTTGCAAATATAGCCATTTACCTAAATATTCTAAGTAGACTGACCTAAAAAGGAAGAAATAATGTGAATGTACAGTTAGGTGACCCAAATGATAATATGATTTAAAATTCCTGGCCTTTATTTACACCACCAATCATCAGAGAATGTAACTGGGGGGAGAGGGGGAGTCTTATTGACAATAACAACAAAAATCTTAGATAAGTAAGAATAAATCTAAGAGGAAATGTTCAAGATCTACATAAAGAAAACAATAAAATTTTACTTAAGGGCATAAAAAACCCCTAAACAAATGGCAAGACATACTATTTACTTGGAAATTATGAGGAAATTTAATATTTTGTAACCATGTCAAGTCTCCCTAAATGAATCTATAAATCCAACACAACCCCAATCAAAAACCCAGCAACATTTTTATGGAACTTGACAGTCGATTCTCAAGTTCACATGGGGAAAATGTATACAAAATAGCCAAGATAGTCTTGAAAATCTTGAAAAAGAATAATAGACTTGAAAATCTTGAAAAAGTATGTGTGTGTGGGAGCCCGGTTTACCAGATATCAAAGCCACATTTGTACTAGACTTTCTTGCTTTTGACTGCTCCTTTTCAGTATGTCTGGTAATGAAATCTCAGAGGAGAAATTATTCCTTGTGGTTGAAGTAGGGTTGACTTCAGTTTCGTAAAAGGACTGGGCATGTGATACAGGCCTGGCCAATCAGAGGAGCCCTACCCCACCCCTTTGGTTGAAGGGATGCTCAGGTAATCAAAGTTAGATTGATCAGGATCCAACCCAGATCCTTTCAGCCAAAACTCTCAAGAAAGATGCCCTCTTTCCTTGCGGTTATGAAGTTATCAGGATGTACCCAGGGTTACCAATAGTTATAGTGTCCATTGGGTGGAAAGAGTCTGTCTGACCCATGAAGAGATAACAAAGAATCTGATGACATCATCTGAGCCCCTGGATACAACTCTGTTTGAAAATAGCTCTGTCTTTGGATATCCTAGTTTTATAGTCTATAAATTTCCCAATTTGAGCCAGATTTCTGTTGCTTGAAAGTGACAGAATTCTAATACGCTATAAAGTCACTAATTAAAACCTTTTGGTTTTGGCATAGAAATAGAGTCTAGAAACAAATTTATGGATAAGTAGGAACTTAATTTTTAATAAATGTAGCATTTTGAAGCACTGGGGAAAGGATGAACTATTTGATAAATGCTATGGAAAAATTATCTGAAAAAAAATCAGAATACTCCCTCACATCATACACAAAAATAGGTTCCAGGTGGATGAGAGAGCTAAAATGAAATTGCAAAAGTACAAAAAATGTTAGAAGAAAATAAAGAATATTTTTATAATCTTGGAGTAGACAATCCTAAGTAAAACACATAATCCAGAAGCCATAAAAGAAAATGATAGACATGGCTGTATAAAAGTTAAAACATATACACACAATTTTTATACAATGCAAGACACCATAAGTCAAGTAAAAAAAGATAATAATAGACTAAGATAAAAATTAGTAACATATATAGCAAAGAATTACACAGCCAGATTTAAAAAGATCTCCAATAAATTAATAAAAGACAGACAACCCACTAGAAAAATGGGCAAATGATACAAATGAACAATTCACAGAAAAAATATAAATGGGCTAGAACATCAGAAATAGTGCATTACTTCACTAGTAATCAGAAAATGCAAATTAAATGAGATTATTTTGTCCTATGGTTGGCAAAATTAGAGACAGCTGCTTTCTAATGTTGGTGAGGATATAGGAAAATAATTTTCTAATGTTGGTGAGGATAAAGGCATACTGTTTATGGTAGACTGGTAAAGCCTTTTTGGAAGACAAATTTATTCAATTTAAAATGCTCGTAACCATTGATGCAACAATCCCTCTTGTAAGAACCTATCTTAAGTTCTAAATATACAAAAACATAAAAATTGTCACTGCAGCATTGTTTGTAATAGTAAAAAAAGAAAAATCCAACCTAGAAATAGTGTAACTAACCATTAATATGGAAAAGAATAACTAAATTATGGCACATTACACTAGCAATATCATGTGGTTGCTAAAAAAATTAAGGTGTGATGATGGAAAAACCTCACAGAACAAAAAGTGAGAATAAAAAAAGGTGTGCATATTTATCTACAAATGAATGAGAATATATAAAAAGAACTAGAAAGACACTGTGGTAGTTTCTGGTATGCAGATAAAATGTCAACTTTGAACCTGAAACATATGTGTTTATGTATCTGTATATAGATAAGGCTCTCATTTGTGTTATATTGAACATTAACATGTGCCAGTTTCTGAACTAAGAGCTTTATACACGTTACCAAACTGTCATTCAATAAGTATTTACTGAGTACCTGTTTTTTAACACTGCACTGCTCTTATCTACAGAAAGACGAATACAGACAAGATCATGGAGCTTATAGACTAGTAGTGAAGACTGACATTAATCAAATAATTACACAAATATAAAAAAGGAAGGTATAAAGTTTTATATAAGAAAATGAAGATGACCTAGCTAGGATTCAGGGAAGTCTTTCCTGAGGAAAGATTTGTCTAATCCTGAAGAATGAGCAGAATTAGTTCTCAGGGTATGGTGGAGTAGAGAGGAGCTAAGAAAAGCATTTCGGGCAATAGAAATATAATAAGTGAAGGCCATGTGGCACAAAAAGGCATAATGCATATCAAGAACCGAAAGAAGGCCAACATGTCTGAAAAGGGAGTGTGGTGAAAGAGGAGGCCAGAGAAATAGGCAGTGAGAATTTTAGTCTTTATTGTAAGAGCAAAAGAAATTCCTGAAAGGTTTCGAGTGAGATTAATATATCTTATTTGTGTTTTTAAAAATGATTCCTGTTGTGGTATAGAAAACAGTTTGAAAGTAGGCAAGGTTGGATATAGGAAATCAGTCAAAAAGCTATTTTAATTGTCTAGTTACTTATAGTACTTTAGATTAGGAAAGTAAAGGGGGTGCATTCATTTTTTGTTGCTGCTGTAACAAATTACCACAAAATTAGTGGCTTAAAACAAACAAAAATTTATCTTATAGTTTGAAGGGCAGAAATCTGATATGGGTCTGAATGTGCTAAAATCAAGGTATTGGTTGGAATACATTCAGGTTCTAGGGTAGAATCTGTTTCCTTGCCTTTTCCGGTTTCTAGAGGCTGCCTACATTCTTTGGCTTGTGGATTGCTTTCTCTATCTTCAAAGCCAGCAATGTTGCATCTCTCTGACTATCTTCCATAGTCACATCTCCCTCTGACTCGTCTCTTTATTTTCTGCTTTTAAGGACTTGCGATTACAATGGGCTCACCTGTATATCCAGGCTACTCTCTTAAAATTGGCTGATCAGTAACATTAATTTCCCTTTTCTATGTAACCTAACATATTCACAAATTCCAGAGATTAGGACATGGACATCTTGGGATGTATTATTCTGCCTAATTTATGGTGAAAGGGAGAGAACTGACTTGATTATAAATTTATATATTTTTTTTGTGGTTATCCTAGAGGTTACAAAATGAATCCCTGATTTATTACTATCTTGTTAGTACTTTTACCATTTCCCAAACAATACAAGAACTTTACAACAATTTAACTCCATTTACCTATTTTCCCCTTTATAGCACTGTTGTCATATCTTCTGAATGGTTTAGTTTGCATTTACTTTTGCAAGGTATTTTCATTAGGCTTAGAATTCTAGGTTGGCAAGTTTTGTTTGCTTTGTTTGCTTTGTTTTCCTTTCAGCGCTTTAAATGTGTCATTTAATTGTCTCCTGGCTTCCATAGTTTCATTGAAGAAATCAGTCATTAATCTTATTTTTACTCCCATAAAGGTAATGTGTCTTTTTTCATCGGTTGTTTTTAAGATTTCCTCTTTTTTTTTTTCCCTTTAGTTTTTGGCAGTTCAAGTCTGCTGTGCCTAGATGTGACTTTATTTATGTTTACACAGTTTGGAACTTGTTGAGCTTCCGGAATTTTGTGGTTGATATCTTTAATCAGTTTTAGAGACTGTAGCATATAATAGGTGATCAATAAAAATTCACTGAATGAAGTTGTAGGAAACTCTTGTTTCAGATATACACATATATGTGTGTGTGTGAGTGTATGTACCAGGTTGTGATGTAAAATATTTCTTACTGAAGAGTGTAGTCAAGAGAGTTTGAAAAATACCGGGTTATACTATATGACCTTTAAGGTCCTTTCCAAATTTGAGTGGTTATGAATTTCTATGTGCAGCTAACAAATCTCATCTACTACCTTTGGGTGATGGCAAAGTTCACAGTCTAGTGACTATAGCAAGCCACTGATTATTGAAACATAATATTGACACTGAAAAAGCAAAATAGCATCCCTATCTTTCCTATCATAGTAGGTTAGAAAACACTGGAAACAGCAAACACTGCTGAATGCCCTAAAATATAAAAATCTCGATTTAATCTTTCCATCACAAAGAGATATAATTTGAGAGCAAATGACAAAAGGGAACATTTTCCAAATCAAAATTTCCCTGCTAAAGCTTTCATTCACTTACTGAAGAAGCGAAGAGGAGTGAAGAAAGATATCGCTCAAAGTCTCTGCTGTAGAAATTGAAACCTGAATGGACTTCGGGAGCAAAGACCACTTCTGAAGTAGGTATGATTTCCACTCATCCACAGGCAGATCCATGCCACTTTAAATCTACAAAATGAATAAGCAAATAAGAAATTCAGATCTCTATAATTTTAGAAAATCAAGATTTCATTCCAGCAAGCATGAAGCAACAATCAATTCTTGTGGTCTTTTGCTATAGTTGTTTACATGTTGAGGAAGAATCTATATTCTCTCACACCAATTCACTCACCATCCTTCCATTCAGAAATATTTATTGTAAGCCTGCTTTGTTCCAGGCACCATGCTGGAGGATTTGACAGCAACCATCTTGGTCCTCTTAGACCTCTACCTACCCTAGTTGCTCAAGTCAGAAACTGAGAGACAGCTCAGATTTTTCTTTCTCTCTCCAGCAACTATCAACAAATATTTCTATCCCTTACATCGTTCAGTTTTTTCTTTCAATCTCCAGGTAATTTTAGTTCAAGCTCTCACCATGCCTTGTCTGGCATTCTTTCCAGTGTCATAACTAGTCTCCATGCTTTCAGTCTGCCCTCACCCCCCAACTTAATCTACCCGCCACATTGAGACAGATGTCAGTACTCTGACTCAAATTCATCAATGCTCCTCCTAGCATTTAGGAAAACCCAGTACAAACTCTTCATTATTTGACCTTTGGCTCTTTTCTAATGCTCAAGTCTTACTTCTTCCTATGTTACTATCGTGAGCTACGCAAAGCTATCCTTGGCTTGCCAGGCTATTATTCATCACTTTAGTTTTTGTATAGGCTATTCATTTTGGGGGGAGTATCCCTACTTTCACTTGGCATCCATCACATAAACTTCCACACATCTTTCAAGACTCATTTCAAATGGCACTTCCTCCGGGAAGCCTCCCTTGATGTTTCATTTGTGATTCCAGCACACTTTGTCTCTCTCCGGGAGTCCATACCGTGTGTACCTTGAGCTAGGGCTACTTACAGAGGAAACTCCCGGTACTATGTTCTCCTCTGAGGGCAGGAACTGGGTCTTATTTTCCTTCAGAAACTCCCACTGTGCTAAGCTCAGGATCAAGTCACTGCTTCGACGACATTTAGCAGCAGGGTTATCAGGGAGCAGCTCTAACTCTCCTCTGGGCTACGAGTCCGTCTGCCCGCCAAAAGCCGAGCGGAATATGTTTCCGAGAGCCCGCTAGCAGAGCACCCGGAACTGCCCCACCCGCGCCCTTTAGCTGCGTTCGCGTCACCCTTGGCGCGCCCCGCAACTAGGCTCTCGGCCCTTAGGCCCTACCATCCCGCGACTAGGCCCCGAATTTAGGATGGTCACGTGGGCATCCGCCAATGCAGTGGCTGCTCAGCCCCTAGGCCCGCCCCTGTGCCGTGCGCACGTCGAGAGGCGGAAGTGGCGTAGGCAGCTCCTAAGACCAATTGCTTTAGTGCGCGGCGGATCCCGGGAGTAAAGGCTGGGCAGCAGAGGATCCGAAGCGCGGGAGTTGGAGCAGCGTAGTCATGGTGGTCCACCTGAGCGAAGGGGCCATTGCGGTGAGGAGATGCCTGCGAACCGGGCTGGAGGGCCGGAGTGGTTGTCGGCCCTGGTGCTGTGCAGAGTGGAGAACGGGGAGAGGAACTGGGGGTTCGTGGGCGTGAACGCGAGAAGATGTAGCAGGAGTGGAGGAACCGCCGGGTGACTCTGCTAACATCACCCTTTCTTGAAAGGATTTTTCCCATATTTTAAACATGCTTAACGTTTTCCTCCTTAAGAATACGAAGCAAAATAAACTCTTGATCCTGAACGCCCCCCTCCCCCCCAATCTCTCTCCGGAGGCCACTCTCTGTCTCCACCCTTCCCCCATCCTCATCCAAACTTCTCAAGTTGTTTTCAGCAGTTTAATTCCCTTACCTCCCATCAATCCTTTAAGTCGCTCCAGTCAGTCACCTCCTTGATCTCTGTACAAATAACTTTGGATGAAATTTGCAGAGCCTCCAAGTTGCTAAATCTAACAAAACACTTTTCGGTTTTCAATTTACCAGTTCTCAGCAGCGTTTGAGTCTTCGAGCTTTGCATCCTTCTGATGACAATCTCTTCTTGTGGTTTCTGTGGCTCAGCTTAGCTGGTCTTTTCCTATCTTATTTGCAGGTTCCTCTTAGTAAATTTTGTTGACTCAAGGCCGTCTTTTCGAACCAAGACAATCTCATTACCATCTATATGTTAATTGCTCACAAATTTCTTTGTCTAAAGCCACCTTTACTCTGAAAGCCAAACCTCTATAATCTGCCTATTTAATATCTCAAAGACATTTAAAACTCAGCATGTCCTAAAGCAGATCCATTATCTTCCTGAATCTGGGCTTTTTGGTGTTCTCTATCTGGATGAATTGCACCATTATTTATTAAGTTATGCTAGCCAGAAATTGAAGAATTATTATTCTTACATCACCCCGAATGTTCAGTCCATCACCATGTCTAGTGTAATTTACTTCTATATATATTTCTTAACTCCCATCTACTCTCCATCCACACTGGCACTGTCACCTTTTGCCTGTATCAATCACTTCCACTCAGCATACCCTCCTCTTGACATTTCAATTATAACATATTCCCAACTTGTTCTCTCCTCCTTTCCAGCCTCTTTTTTTTTTTTTTTTTTAATTTAAATTCCTGGTATATTCCATACTCTTGCCTTCCACAGGGTCTTTGATAATTCTTTCCCCACTCCCCACTGCCTACTGCCTAGGTGGTTTTTCACTCTGCTCTTACAGCAAACAATCTTCAAATCTCAGCTCAGTTGTTAATTCCTCACAGGAGCTTTCCTTGACTTCCCTTGCTAGGCTAAATTCCTTTTATTTTGAGACCCTGACTTCTGTTCATTCACTTATTAGTTGTTTTGGGCAAGATACTGAACTCTGCCTTTCTTCTCTAGAGCCTATTACCTAAGGTTAGTGTGAGGATTGAGTTATTACATTTAAAGTGCTTAGCCCATGTCTGATACATAGTAAATGCTCAGCATATGTTACCTATTATTGATAATCACAGATGAAAATTTTATTTATTGATTGATTTGATTAAGATCAGTTACTTTCTGTCTCCCCTACTGAACTGTACATTCTTTTAGGAGTGAAATTATGTCTGTTTTTTTGCTCAACACAGTATTTCCAATACCTGGGACCGTGCTGGCAGGTTTTAGGTGCCCAATAAATGTTTGCTAGTTGCATATGTGGCAGTGAAAAGAAAGGGACAAGGATGAGTGGGGAAGAAAGGGAGCTTGGGGGAAACAGGAAGGGGAAGAACAGTTGGAGTGAGTGAACATTTTAATAAATGGGAATATTTAGACCTGGGAAGTGATTGCAAATTCTTGTCCTCATTTACTTTATAGCTGCTACCTTGTGCTTTTAAGACAAATTAGAGGGAGTAGGAAAAAAATTAAGAACAGCCCTTTACTTTTAAAAAAATGATCACAGGCTTTTTAAAATATAAATGTTTTGCTTAGTTTTCGCTCTGTTCAGAATTTTAGAAACATTTCCAGTGTCAGGTAAAGTATTACTTAGGTTTTATTAATAAATAACAAAATTTTTGCATGTGTTTGTGGTGACAGAGTGTGGAGAACCTTGGTCATCTTCAACTGTTAGCTAAAGCAGGTAGTACCATCTTAGTTTAAAAGACACAGGCCTAAAAGAGTAAGCAACTAATACACAAATAGTAGAGGCATTTTGGGGAAGAGCTAACATCATAGAGTAAGAGGTAATTAATGGAACTATTGTGGTAAGTAGAATAGATAGCATTTATATCTTAAGTAATTAGGTAATGTAAAGAATGGGGAAGAGAACTAATGTTTTTGACCATTTCCAATGTGCCAGATACTTACTTTATGATAGTCGATACTTACAGTAACCCTCTAAGGTAGATTTTATCATTCCATTTTACAGTTGAGATTAAAGTGGAAAGAAGTTAAATAATTTGTTAATGAAGTGAGGATTCAAATGCAAGTCCCCTTGACTATTGCATTCTGTTGCCTTGTATTTTTATTAGCAATGTTAATTTGGAAAATTTGAGGCAATTTTATCTTAAGTGTAGATGTTATGCTGTATGCCCCAGAAAAGAATAAATGCTATATTTGGTATTTATGATGACACATTTTAAGTTAAAAAGAATAATGAAGTATTACATGCATGTGGTTTTAAAATAGAACAGAAAGGTGTTCTATGAAATTATGGACTTTCTGCCCTTTACCCCAGTTTGTTCCCTAGAAACAACTTTAAAAAAAATCACCTTTATTTAAGTTTAATTTACATATAATAAAATATACCTATTTTAAGCATACAGTTTGATGAGTTTTGATGTGTATACACCCCTGTAATCACACTACCCCAGTCTCCTGTGCCTTCCCCATTTCCGCCCTTACCCCAGGCAATCACTATAGGTTTGTTTTGACTGTTCTAAAATGTCATGTAATTGTAACCAAATAATATGTACCCTTTGGTTTATTCATTTATTTATTCAGCAAAATGGCTTTTGCAGTTTATTCATATTTTAGCATTTATGTCTTTTTATTGCTGAGTAGTATTGTATGAATAAACACGATTTGTTCTTGGACATTTGGGTTATTTTCATTTTGGGGCTATTATGAAAGAAGATACTTTGAACATTTATGTACATTCTTTTGTGGAAATGTTTTCATTCCTCTTGAATAAATACCTAGGAGTGCACTTGCTAGGTTGTATGGTTGAATATTTAATTTCATAAGAAATTGCCACATCGTTTTCCAAAGTAGTTATGAGAATTCTAGTTGCTCCATATCTTTGCCAACTCTTAGTTTTGTCAGTCTTTTTAACTATTATAATGAATGTGTAGTGTTATACCATTGTAATTTTAATTTCTGTTTTCCTGATAAATGATGATGTTGAACATCTTTTTATGTGATTTCTGGTCATTTGTATGTCTTTTGTGGAGAGTCTGTTCAAATCTTTTGCCGACTTTTTTTATTTATTTTTATTTATTTATTTAAAAATCTTGCCCATTTTAAAAATCAGGTTGCGTTTTTATTAATTAGTTGTAAGAATTTTTTATTCTGGATGTCTTTTGTTAAATATAAGCATCACATATATTTCCTCCCAATCTGAGATTTGCCTTTTCATTCTTCTAGCTTCTAGTCTGAGCAATTTTAAATGTTGAAGAAGTCTCATTTATCATTTTTTTCCCCTTTTCTGAATTATATTTTTGTGTCCTAAGAAATCATTGCCTGTCCCAGGGTCACAAATCTTTTGTCTTGTGTTTTCTTCTAGAAGTGTTGTAGTTTCAGTTTTGATTTCAGGTCTATAGTCCTTTTCAAGTTTACTTTTTAATATATAGTATACAGATCATTTTTTTCCCATTCAAATATTGTTATTCCAGCACCATTTGTTGAAAAGACTATAATGTTCCATTGAATTATGTTGTCACCTTTGATAAAATTTGTGTATGTATGGTACTGTTTTTGGAATGTCTCGTCTCTTTGCTGTATGTGTTGATGCTTACACTAATACCACATTGTCTTAAATGAGTTAAGACAATGTGGTATTAGTGTAAGCATCAACACATACATTGGGTTCTGAAATTGGGTAATGTAAACTTCATAGCTTCATTCTTTTTCGAAATTGCTTTACTGACTCTAGGTACTCCACATTTTCATATACATTTTAGAAAGCTTGTCAATTTCTAATACAGCCTAATGGTATTTTGATTGATATTATATTGCATTTATAATTTATTTTGGGGTCAGTTGACATCTTGCAAACATTGAGTCTTTCAAACCAATCTTTTATTTAGGTTTTCTTTAATTTCTATGTGTTTTGTAGTTTTCAGTGTGCAGGTCTTGCGTACATTTTATTAAATTTATTCCTAGGTATTTTATTTTTCATGATATTAAAATGTTTTTAAAGTTTTCATTTTCCAGTTTATTAGCAGTATCTAAAAATACAATTGATTTTGCCATATTAATCTTATGTCTTACAAACTTGCTAAATTCACTTACTAGTTTTTGTAATGTAGATACCTTAGGAATTTTTATGCACATGATCATATCTGCAAACACCGCTTTATTTCATCCTTTTCAGTCTTTCTGCCATTTCTTTTTCTTGCCTTATTGCATTCATTAAGACCTCTAAAGTCATATTTATAAAGGTAATGAGAGCTATATCTTTATCTTCTTCCTGATCTTAAAGGGAAATTAGTCTTTTGCTATTAAATATGATGGCAGCTATCAGTTTAAACCTTTCTTCTATTTCTAGTTTGCCGAGGCTTTTTTATAATAAACAGGTGTTAAATTTTTCCAATGCATTTTCTG